ATATGATAAGAAGGATGATAGAGGATACTTACATTGAGAAGAAGAATTGGTAGCAGTTTTTTCTGAATGGGGATTGTATTAGACTTGAGACTACGATGGTAATCTTGAAGATATGTAAGGGGTTTGACCTTCCTGGTGGATTTCCTGGTAGGTAATGGAACTTAGGGTACATAGATTGTAGCATGGTCTGTAATAGAGGGTGAAGCAAGTGTATCTGTTACTGGTGTAGCATGTGAAATTTGAGGGACAGAAGTAGGTGTGGGATCAGGGGTAGGTATATGATCCGCGGTCGCTCGCGGATCAAAACCGAGTGATTTGAAAAACGTAGTAAAAGTGACGGTAACTCGGATATCGATTCACAAGGATTCTTATTTATAATAGCCAATTGATACGATTTGGGGGGTTGTTTTGATTAAGAATTCGATTAAGAAAGTAAAAGGCAAAAATAAGTGATTTTGAAATAAGTGATTAAAAACAGGTAAATCCACCGGTTTGACTCCCAACTTATCATCGGCTATTACAATTCAATATTTCCAAACGGTTCCAATTCATATTCAATTGCAATATTGACGAACAAGCGTCGAATATTTCCAACACCGCACAATTCAATATTTCCAAACGGTTAAAGATGGCGCAAGTTAACGAAAAAGTTAAGTTAATCCGCGATTAAGTTAAGGAATATTGATCAATCGAATTAAATCCAATTTATCTTATAATAACGAATTAAGCAAACGAAGTTATAAAACAAATTGGAACATAATTAAATTAAATCGAAATTGAAATAAACCTCAAAGAATTACGGGATTCGAAACCGGCAGATTTTCCCTCAGGATTAGTTCGCCATGAAAATTGTGAAAAGCAAAAAGAAATTCGTAAATTAAACTAGCCTTCTGTTTTGCATCACAACAGCAACCTTATAAACACTCAACTGGGCCAGACACCTAAACCAGGCCCGAAAGGGATACAAACTACATTATCACAAGTCATAAACTTCAACGAATTATTCGAGACTCAAGAAATTCGAATAAGCTTCTTTGTGCAACATGAAAGTTGTAGATCTTTTCCTTAGCTTTTCAACGACTGGTAGAACGCCTCGATCCGATTCCTGTAGCTCCAGTTATGAATTTTTTATTAAAAACTGCTAATGCTGAAAATAACAAACGAAAATTATATAAAGTTGAAAATAAATTAAATTGTAAAAACATCATAAAATAGGAAATTAAACAAACTAAACTATAGAAATGCCTAAGTCTAAGCATAGAGGAAGGTGCATTAAAATGCATTGATCAATATATATGAATAGTTCAGCAGATCATCTAAATAAGTATCATTAGAAACATGTGTTTCAAGACTAGGGTTAGTGGAATTAACAGGTGGATGTTTGTATAGGAAGTGGTGTTCAATCTCATGAGAAATAACCAAGTGAATATACTTTTATCATCCACATCAGTGAAGAAGTATCTATAACTCATCATAGACATGATGGATAGGGGGCCCAAAATATCCATATGCCCTAAATCAAAATTTGAATGAGAAACATGAGAATTGTGAGAAAAAGAGAGTCTTCTTTGTTTGGCATAAAAGCATACATCACAAGGAGTATTACTAGAGACATAATGTATAAAAGGAAATCATCCATGTAATTAAGTTAATTTTGTATTAGAATGGTGGCCAAGCCTTAAGTTCCAAAAATTACAACTTTGATCTGAGTCTAGAGACTTATTGTGTAAGGTATTGATGGAGTGTGGTGCAAGGTAACTGAAAGTGACTCTAAAATATACAATCCATCATTTAATCAGTTATGTCAATCCTCATATTGGAGTGAATAGCCTATATCACACAATTATTATCATTAAACATTAGTTGGCACTGTGAAATTTTGGTTAGCTTATGGACAGATATGAGATTGAAAGAAAAATTTGGCATGCACAGCACATCATTAAGGTACATATGGTGATCAAAATGAATTGTGCCAACATATGAAGTAGTAAAATTGCTCCATTTGATAATTTGATTGTGAGATGATTGATCCTTTTAATGCATTGAAAAAAAAATTCTCTAGTATGACATACATGATTAGTTGCTCCCGTGTCAAGAATGAAATGCTCAGAACTAGGAGAGTTATGAATGGTGCAAATGATACCTGAGTCATTTTCTATTTGAGTTGCCAAGTGATTAATATTGTGATGCTAATATGCAGAGACACCTTGGAGTAGACCCAGTAATTCATTGTGCTGGTCAGGTGTGAATGCCAAAGTCCCTTGTGTTTGTTCATTGTCACCGTGAAATTCAGTTTAGATTGCATCTACAATATCAGGAACAACTGCATGCTGATTAATTGAACCATTTTTTTCCAGTGGAGAGGATATACATGCTTCTTGAAGCAAGTATCAACTGTATGATTAATCATACCACAGTGTGTGCATATTTTGGAACCCTGTCCTCTTCCACCATAGAATTTGTCACCCCTATGGCCTCTTCCCCTAGAATGCCACCTTTGGATGCATTAGTCTGTGTTGCATTGATTTGAGGTTGGTTAGTGTTGGGAAATGCCAAATTTTTGACTCATCAAGTGGGATAATTGTTTATCTCTCTTAAGGAACAAAAAGATAGTAAACTCTGCATATATTTGAAAGTGACACTTAAAAAGAAACGGAGAGAATATTTTTCTTAACAGAATATATCTTCTACCCTTTGATGAAATAATTTTAAATTAATGATTGAGCTTCCCCTTTTAAAGATACGTGACCTCTAAATTATTATCATTTAGTGAATATAATTAACCTTGACTAGTTAATTAATGTTCAAATCGCAACTAAAAGATATTTTATATTTATCATCCGACAGTATCTCTAACAAAGTTAGGTTTAGTGAAATAATATATGAAAACCCCAAATATTAAAGATAGCAATTTTGAGAAAATGTGTATGTGATATTTAAACATGCATCAAATCCCAATTTCCTTTTCCTCTATTGTGAGCCTAGTGTTAATTGCTCATTATATCCAACTGAACTACGGAGCACTCAACACGTGTAAATATAAAATTATAGTCATCATCACAAATTAGAGGCGCCATTAGTGCGACTAGAAAATGGACAACATACATGCCACAACAAAACCTGTACGGACAACAACACATGTTGGTTGCATCATCAATGATTATAAAATATTAGCACAACTATAATCAAGTTATGGATTACGAGTATTTGTCAATTTTACTTTACCTTAAACTTTGGCTTGAATCATTTACCTATAGTTTTTTTTCCTCTAAAAATCTGAAAATGCAAATACTTACGAAGATGGATGGTATATTACATACAGCATGCTGATGCTCCACATTAAAACAAGCAATTAAATAAAGTTCTGGTTGACTTGATGCAATGGAAAAAGAAATTTTGAGTTGAATTAAAATCAAATCTAGGGAAGAATCAATGGACGTTCCAAATACCTCAATCATTTCAAAATCAATTTTATATCTACTAATTCAAAGATTAACTATAACTATTTTTTGAACTGGATAAGCTATAATAATCTATATACTATGCACCGTTTTCATCATAATTATAACTAAGATTATATTCTTGTGCATTTTAAGAGAGAAACAATTTTTAAGTATATACATGTAAAGAGAGAGAAAATCTAAGAGGAGACAAAATATAAATGAAATCCTTGTCATTAAAATTTATAGAAAATGATATGATTCGCTTAGTTTATATAAGAGCAACTTTAGTGCAGGGTTGTTAAACCAAAATTCTTTATAGCTTACGTTAGTAATAAGGAATTTGCATTATAGTAGTGCTGACATGGCATATGGGATGCTCTAAAACTAGTTTACGTGCTCTACACAAGCAACGTACTCTAACTCATTATTTAACATAAATAATAAATTTTTATTAATTATTTAACATAAATAATAGATTTTTATTAACCATTTAATACCATGTGGGGTCAAGTTTTGGTTTCTTATAGATAACCACCATTAAAGTAAAAACTACTCAAATCAACTATAAATTTTTTAAATCCTACAAATCACTTTGGTCCCACAAAAAGTATCTTAGTTTACTCATTTAGTTTACTCCCACTAAAGATGCTCTAAGTGGAATGACCTTATCTATAAATAGTTGTGGTATTCTTTTCCCACCCAATTTTTTATTTCGTATCAACTTTTCTTCTTGGATACAATATTAATACGCAGTAATAATAATACTAACACACTGTCATAATAAAAAACACATTTTATTCAGCACTCACTAAATTGTTGAAATTTAATGAATTTATAATTTTTATTGCACATTCTATCATTTTGATTCATTTATACCATTCCATTATTTTCCCTTTTTAGCCTTTTATCATGATTAATTTTATAATGTATACTATGTTCAGAACATGCATAAAACTCCCTCAGCCGGTCTAAAGGTTTAACATGTCTAAAAAATGTCCCATAATCAACTGGACTTGATTAGAACCATTGATTTATACTAATAAAGCTATCAAAAATTATTTAAAAAGAATGAGAAGTGTCCCAAAATAATGAACAATTATGCATAAGCATTTCAAGGAGTTTCACTAATACACAGGATCTTTCTGCTGAATCCTTAAAATTATGGAACAGCAGTAGGCTACTAATTACCAGTACAACACTTCAAAGTCTGAATTGTGTCCTGATCTAACAAGCATTTGAAAGATTGCTGTCTGAAATTTCTCATTCCTGACAAGATTTAAGGAGAAAGGTGATATCAACAATAACTTGCAACCAGATGCGTCAAAGAAGCACTAGAAAAAATTCCAGGAAATTGTAGATACCCTGGTTACAGTGTATCCATTAATCAGTATGGCACAGTGTCTCTGAATTGCAACATCCTGAAAAAGAAATAAGAGACAGCAGAAAATTTGTGGCCGCTTATAAAATTGGCCACCTGCTTGTGTATTTGTATTGCACTGTATATATGTTTCTTTCTTTTAACCTAACATGAATTTGGGTGCATGAGACAAAATAACACTAGCAACCCAAAACAAAAGCATGCACTTCAGCCCAACTAGAGACTGTGTAAAGAATGCCAGATAAACCCTTCCAATTGGAGGAGCTTCCTTCATTATATTCTTTCTGTTTCTTAACCAAGCCAGAAAACAACGGGACAAATAAAACACCAAAATATGTCCCTATTCTCCTAAGGCTTGAGCTAGAACCAACCACAATTCCTACATCTGCTTCAAGTAGACAAAGTAAATCACCCACAGAATCTCCAATGTAAATGGTTAATTTCTTCTTGTCATTGTTGCGACTTTTCAATATATTATGAAAAGCTTGGACCTTGTCAATGGGAGACTCCACTTTCTTAACAATATCACCAGTGGAAACAGAACCCTCATAACAGAACTCATTAGCATGAATATCCATCTCATTTAAATCAGCTGGCCAAAAAAAAATTATTATAAGAAAACATAAAACTAAAATATCATCAATTGACAACTTCACTCAATTTGATAGCAAAGATTTGACCAACTAAGCTGGGAAACAAGGGAGCAATTACTTCAACAGAAAATCACAGCATATGCTCCAAGCAGAAAAATGTAATAAAAAAAAAATTTTAAAAAGACAAGACAAGACAAACATGAATGAAGAACTCATGATGGCTCAAATTTAAAAAATAAGTGTCCCAATTTTTTTGCATCACAATAGCTAAAACCCCATTATAACAAGTTAAAAGATTCTATCCATGACAAATTTATGGATTAAAAACTCAAAATAAGGTCACATCAGAATTAGCTGTCTTGTTCCTACCAGAACTTCAAAAAACATCATATGGAAAGCTCCAAGGTGAGAAAGGAGACACGTGTTCACCAATAATCCAAGCCCCAAACAGGTTTTTTATACACCCACCAAGACTAGGATGACTCCAAAAGTGCGAAAAGGACACAATTGATTCAAATAGAAGTATCCTATTCCTATTATTTGATTCTACAAGCTAAAGTTAAAAATAAATAATAATATAGTATCATCAGAGAGAAATAAATCACAGCTCATGGTAAGGAATATGTACCTGAAGAGAAAACAGACCTAATGAGGTCACCACACCAGCAGTATGAAAGAACATGCACATTGGCATTCAAATTTTCATTCTTAACAACTTTCTTAAAAAAGTCAGTGCAACCATCTTGAAGGATCAAACGCTCTCCAGCACGCTTTATATCTTCTATATTTATACCCTTGAGAACCCCTGACTCGACAACCCTATTATTTGCCGATTTCTCGAATTCTGAGAGTTGCTCAAGTGCCTTAGACAGTCCTTTATAATCAAGATATACCACTGCAAATCACACAAGGTCAAAGAAAATTAACAAAATCTATGCAAAACACACATTCTTCCTAAAGCAGTTAAGACCATAGTAAAGACATTAAAAAAAACCAGCATACATCTATAAGTCGGCATAATGCTTTCGACACATTGCTCATACTCTTCTGTATACTGTTTGGATAGAATACCCCATGTATTTCTGAGGTCAGAAGACAACATTCGAGTTGTTTGATCTTCAGACAGATTGTCAGATTTTGGTGCTGTCACTATAGCCATTTCTGCCAAGATGGCAGATGAATCAACAACAGTGCATGTTAAATCAAAATCGGTAAAAATCATGAGATGGTCTTCTTCAGGGTTATGTCCTTTAGTCAATGGTACTATAGTTGGCTGAAAGAGTGGTTGAGCAGTGAAGAAGTCTATTTCAAGCTTCATTGCCTGATAATAAAGCTTTTCAATGACGTCGAGTTCTTCGCCAGTCAAAGAGATACTTAGCTTGTCGAGCAAATCTTCGGTTTGCAAAGCAGATGCCTAAATTCAAATATAAGAATAACTGAGTAGATGGGGGAACAAGAATACCATGACTAAATGTATATTTGATTCAAAATAGTATCCAAAGCAACCACAAAGGCTATACGGTATGGCTCTATTGTCAATATAACAAACCTGGAAACCATCAGAGGAATAGTTGTCAATCCATTTGCTATACGGGTGAGTTTTATCATCGGAGACTGGAAGTTTCTTGATCTTTTCACCAAGAAAGGCATAAAGCCTCATGCAAGGACTCATGGCACCTAGAGTATAAGCAGCAATTTTGGTTTTCTCAAATGGTGTTGCGAGTTTCCCAGAACTTTTCAATCCTTCAATCTTTCCAGAGGCAGTAGCCAACAGGAAGTCAGTATACTTAACTGTTGCAGAACTAATACCATGCTCTTTGGCAAGGTCCAATCCCCATTCCTATACACCATTAACATAAAACCAAAATAATATAAGCTGTATGGGTGGAAAATGGGGAGAAAAGTACAAGCACGTAGTGTTGTTTGAAAAATTCGTGAAGAAGCATGAAATGAGACATTTTGTTCATTAAAACTTTAAATATTGACTTCATCTTAAACATGGAATCAACACTATAAAAGACAAAAACAACAGCATATAGGATTTAGGCAAAACCCACTTTTCCTCTCGATAAATAAATGTTCAGTACTCTTTCATTGTTCCACTGGAATGGATGTTCCTCAGATTCATACTCCTCCAACCACATAAATCTTAACTATTATGCACAAAAATTGTCCAAATTTTTCAAAAATTGAAAAGGAGTCCAATCAGCATTTGGCAAACAATTTATCTCATTTACAATAAGTATGCAACCCCTAAATATTATTTGGGACCTGTCCCATTCACAGCTTGAAAGTTATGACAATAGTCTTCTTCCCTTGAATAACACTTCATAACTCAAGTCACAATTCAAAAACAAAAATAGTAGAATTATAATGTGCAAGATGAAAAGCCCTGGCCCAACTCAGGCCCGTGTTACCAGGAAATGTCTTACCTTTACCAGAGAGTCGTGCATCTTCAGCTCCTCTAAGACTTCCTTCCTCAACTGAGAAAGTCCAAGCTTATCATCATCATCGTCAGCACACTCTTCTGCCAACTCATACCTATGAAATCATAAAAATTCAAGGAATAAATTTAAACAGTCAAGTTACTTACCACAACCTTTTACTAGTTTCATATTCTCTTAAAAAAAAGGAGAGGGGGCAGGTCTTACACAGTGTTCTATATTTTAAAGACCGAAACTCTCCTGAATCAATTCAAATGTACACATACAATTTCACCAAATAATCAAACTCTCCAGTTTTGGTTGCTAAGAAAACTGACAAACAAGATAGGAGGGGGTGCAGACATAAAATAAAATTTCATACACAATCTTTTAGTTGCACTCATTTCCAAACTCCCCAAGTTCAATTGCACTTATTTTAAAATCACATGATTCTAGTCAAGAGATTAATTCACTTCCACCAACCAAGAAAACAAACATATTCTAATTAGTGTCTTGTCAATCGCAGATAGCAGATAACAGAAGTCGGTTAAAATTTCGCTAAGCAGCATCTACAGAAAATAAAAGTCGGTTAAAATTTCACTAAGCAGCACCTACAGCACCAATAGCCACAATTTGACCATATTTTGTACTACTACAGAGTATCTCAGACATAAAATAAAATTTCATAGGCATGATCCTTTTAGTTGCACTCATTTCCAAAACCACAAGTTCAATTGCACTTATTTTAAAATCACATGATTCTAGCCAAGAGATCAATTCACTTCCACCAACCAAGAAAACAAACATATTCTATTTTGTGTTTTTGTCAACAGAAAATAGAAGTTGGTTAAAATTTCGCTAGGCAGCATCTATAGCGCCGCTATAGCCACAATTTGACCATATTTTGTACTAAATAGAGTATCTCAGACATAAAACAAAATTTCATTAGCATGATCTATTATTTGCACTCATTTCCAAAATCTCTAAGTTCAATTGCACTTATTTTTTAATCACATGATTATAGTCGAGAGAGATCAACTCACTTCTACCAACCAAGAAAACAAACATATTCTAATTAGTGTTTTGACAATCATGGATAGCAGAAAATAGAAGTCAGCTAAAATTTCGTTACGTAGCATCTATAGCGCCGCTATAGCCGCAATTTGACCATATCTTGTACTAAATAGAGTATTTCAGACATAAATAAAAATTTCATAGCGTGCTACAGCGCCACTATAGCCGCAATTTGACCATATCTTGTACTAAATAGAGTATTTCAGACATAAATAAAACTTTCATAGCATGATCTTTTAGTTGCACTCATTTCCAAAATCCCCGAGTTCAATTGCATTTTATTTAAAATCACATGATTCCAGTCGATAAATCAATTCACTTCCACCAGCCAAGAAAACAAACATATTCTAATTAGTGCTTTGTCAATCGTGGATAGCAGAAAATATAAGTAGGTTCAAATTTTGCTAAGTAACATCTATACCGCCGTTATAGCCGCAATTGACCCTATCTTGAACTAAATCTTGAACTAAATAGAGTATCTCAGAACAATAACAATTTGTTCATTCCGCTAAGCTATTTAATAACATTGATTCTAATATACCTATATAGTTGTCTACAGAGATCAAGAATCAAAATCAAGCATCATTTATATATTTCATCTATCTACTTCGTTTTTGTGTAAACTTTCTCATCAACCAAAACAAGAAAAGAATATGAAACCTAAGAGATAAGCAAGCATATAAAAATATTTTCAATAATGAAAGAGACTTACGCTTTAACAAAAGAACGAAGAAAATGAACATCTTGTGCGATGTAATGACGGAAGGAATCGGTCTTCAGGTTACCGGATGCTAAAGAGATGACAAAAGGAGTGAAGAGAGCAAATATTGATTCGCGGTTGAACTTGATCCAGAAACGCTTCGCAAGTCCAGCTTCGCTGTGGTGATGAATAGCTGCCATTTGGATTCGGATTGTAAACGACGATCTTGAATCGAAAGAAAGCGAGTGAGGAACGAAACTTGGAAATGAGATTGAACGGATGTTGTTGATAATCGGAAGGGTTTTGATAGGGTTTGGGAGCAACCACCGCATGCGCATCGAGGGGATAAAACACACGGTGGCGATGATTCTCTCACTCTAACTTTCTTGGTGAGTCTTGGAATTTACAGAGAGAGAAGGAGAAGAAGGAGAAAGAGAATTGACGATGTTGGTGCAACTGCGGGGTGGTATTTTATTTTTGTTTGTTGGGCTTTCGCACGGGCTTTTCATTTGGGCCAAGCCCGACTTAAGTTAGAGCATTTAACTTGACATTCTCCACTATTCTCCACTGGAAGCTTTACCCCATACCCCTACACTTGTACCCACACCCCTACATTAAAAAATATTGGACCAAAATACCCTTGTTTAAATATCTATAATTTTGAAAATTTTTCATTTTTCCTTCATTCCCAAACACAAAGACATCCGGAAGCTCTCTTTCTTTTAACAAACCGGAAGACTTCAACCAAGACATCCGGAAGTCATTTTTTAACAAATACGTACCGGAACACTACAAGTAAGTCATCCGGTTTGTAACTTTTTTTTCATCTTCACCGGAAGACTTAACGAATGTCTTCCGGTTTGTAAATTTATTGATTTTGTCTTCCGGAACTCTTTGCTAAAGACTTCCGGTACACGCGATGAATCATTTCTTCACCGGAACTCTTATTAAAAGACATCCGGTACATATAACAACTATTTGTCTCACCGGAACACAATCATGAAGAGTTCCGGTGTGTTTTTTTTTTTAATTTTTTTTTAAATTTTTTTTTTACGTATTTATTTTTTTTTTTACTTATTTAAGTTTTTTTTTTACTTATTTAAGTTTTTTTTCTACTTATTTAATTTTTTTCTACTTATTTAATTTTTTTTCTACTTATTTATTTATTTATTTTTTTTCTACTTATTTATTTATTTATGTTTTAATTTTTAATTTTTTTTTTCCAGTGGTGCGCACACGAGGCAGAGATGGTAGGATCCCTCATGGAGTAGGACGGGGTGAGTCATCCAGAATGGCGGAAGAAGAGCATTTTGATGCATCTGCATCAGCATCCGCATCCGAGCCGGTTGGATATCCAGGAGGGCCGTCTGATACATCTCTGTTAGTTAAATACGAACAGCATATTGCAAACCGTATATGGTTCGGTCAGGTAAGAAAACGAAAATTATTTAATATTCAATAGAATTCAAATTTTTAATTGTTTTAATTGTTTTCAGGAGAGAGGGTCGAAAAAAGAGTTAAAGGTAGCGGGGCATGGATTGAAGTTGATGCAGAGGGTTCCACTACAGCTACCCAGAGAGATGGAGGGCTGGATATCTAGGTCTGGTCTAGCTTCACTTCAGAGAACTAGTTTAACAAAGATAGACACAAACCTAGTTTCAGCATTTGTAGAGAGATGGCATCTAGAGACATCTTCATTTCACATGCCGTTTGGTGAGATGACGATTACTCTAGATGACGTTTCTTGTCTGCTTCACTTGCCCATCAGGGGAGTCTTCTGGAATCCTCAAGATATTAGTGAAGCACTTGCTGTTGAGTGGGCTGTTCAATATTTAGGAGTGTCACGGAGAGTAGTACAACAACAAATCCGTGAATGCAGGGGTTCCTACTATAAGCTGGAGTGGTTATATGATCTGTTCGTAGAGCACAGAGCTGCATCTAGATGGGATTATGCCACTAGAGCTTATTTGCTGATGTTAGTGGGTTCCACTATTTTCGCGGACAAGTCGTTTACTCTTGTCGAGGCACGATACCTGTCACTGTTTATAGACTTGGATGGCTTACCAGGATACAGTTGGGGAGCAGCTGCATTGGTTACTCTTTACAGATATCTCGGAGATGCTTCTATGTTCAGCTGTAAGCAGCTTGGTGGTTATCCGACTCTCCTACAGGTATTTATTTTAATGTAGTATATTTTATTTATCTAGTTTATTATGTTATAATTAATTATTTTAAATTTAGTAACCATATTAATTTTGTAACAGTGTTGGATTCATGAGTATTTTCCAACGCTTGGAAAAAAAGGAGAGAACTGGATGCCAGCTAATAATGTGGGTCTCCCTCGAGCGATGAGATGGTCCTATAGGCAAGGTTCGTTGAAGGTGGATGACTTGCGGCCTATTTTGGACGAGCTGACACCTGCTGACGTCATATGGCGCCCATTCGAGAATCATAGAGTATGGTGTCAGTTTGATGAGCTATGTCTATATAGGGGGTGTCTGAGGTGGGGTGACACTGTTGTTCCATATTTGCCTGACAGATGTATGCGTCAGTTTGGATACCGGCAGTATATTCCATATCCACCTCTAGATCATACGATGGCTGGTGATATTGATGTTGACTGGATTAGTTACCATCAGAGCGTTCAGAATGTGATTCGTCCGACAGCACCGGCCACCACCCCATATGAGACAGATGATGGATATCTTGAGTGGTACTATCGTGTCTCTCATCCTCGTCTGGTACCGCCACCCTATCATGATGTGCCAGTAGAGATGCCAGTTCCTATATATGAAGCAGGACCATCTGATCCTAGTTGGGCTCGAGTGTCTTCGTTGATTCATCGGTATCTTCAGCAGGCTGGTGCTGAAGATGATGACCCACAGTTTGCAGATTTGTTCGAAGCTTTATCTATTGCTCGATCACATTGACTTGTATTTATATTTATAATTATATGTTAACTTTTAGACTCATTTGACCTAATTGTTTTATGTTTATGTGTTAACTTTTAGACTCATTTGATCTAGTTGGTTTATGTGTATGTTTTGAATGATTCACAATTCATGTTTTGAAATTAAAAATGAGTAACATAAGTCATTATTCATGTTTTGAAATTAAAAACGAGTAACATAAGTCATTATTCATGTTTTGAAATTAAAAACGAGTAACATAATTTATAATGTATAATGCGCTGGTAATATAGGCGTAAGTTGTTGCCAATGTTGTAGACGTCCTGCAAATCCTAGCATCCAAGATGTTGCTGCTGGAGAACGAAACTTCTTCCAATCTATTGTCACTGGTGGCAATGGAAACCCTTCTTTCATGTTTACCTAAATAAAAAAATAATCAAAATAGTAAGTAAAAATAACGAAAAAAACTTAAGATTAATCGCATTATCTAAAAACAACTAAGTACCTGAACCCAATGATTTTTGTTTACAAAACCAATGCAGTAAATTGCTACATTCGGTGAAAATGAAGTTGTCATAGGGAAGAAAGTCCAGCATTCAATTCCTAAACAGACAAGTACAACATTATAACGATTCGTTATCACGTAACCCATATCTGGCAGAGTTAACCATTTATGTGGTGGTTGAGGACCGACTTCGTCTATCATTAAAGATTCTCTCACCACTGCTAACTGATCAGTGAATAAATTGGCATACAAACTTGATCTTTCATTATGTATTATTTCCAAACCCAAGTCTCGACGAACCATTGCCCAACCATCTTCACCAAATCCATGCAATGAAGCAATGACTCTAAAACCACAATTACCATCTGATACAACATTAACTACATCATCAATATAGGATCGAATGTGATTAGGAAACTGAAGGATGAACTGCTTAGATGACTGTGATAATTTGATCTTCTTCGAAGCTTGTGATGGTTGAGATTTCTTTTGTGAAGACTGTGATAATTTAGTCTTCTTCGAAGTTTGTGATGGTTGAGATTGAGATGCTTGATCAACATATTCGTGATACGAAGGGTCTCTATAAACATCATATCCTACTGGTTTTTTGTCTTTTCTCTTGACTCCCCCTTTAGTTTTTATTTTCTCAGGTGGTGGACACATAGAAGTCATTGTTGGGAAGGCAAGTTCAAAAACCCTACTTTTTAATGCCCTTTTTCCAACAACATCTAGTGACTTAAACCTTTTCCATAACTCATCTATTGCACTACTCATATCCACCTCTGATCCATCGTCTACGTCTTCGTCCAAATTAACTTCCATACTTAGTTTTCTCCAATGAACATGTACAACCTCTATTGGTATCGGTATACCATCAATTCTATATCCTGTCAACTCACAAGCACAAGGTAATCCGTAGGTTGTTCTAAGAGTACAACGACATTTTTCCTTGTTAGTTCCAACATAATCAACTCGTTTTAACTCTTCAGCAATGCGTTTCAATGCATCTCGAGACACTGAACCACGTAAATTATTGTAAAATGGACTTACATGAGCGTGCTCAACTTCATAAAAACTCTTTTGAAAAGAAGCTCTAATATTACCCAATTGTAACTTTAAGTTGTCATTCATAGCCTCCCAACATTTGACCATGTCACCAATACTGTTCCCCAACATTTGCTTTAACTTCCAATGAGCAGACTCGACCCTAAAATTAATACATATCAAATATATTATAAAAAAATTAAAAAAAAATACAATTTAGAAATACTAAAAACAAATACATACCGATTAGTCGTGGTGTTACCAAAATGTAGCAATCGATTAATCCATGCTTCAACAAATCTTTGTCTATGTGGTGTCAACCATGTGTCCTTCACATAATCAATAAATTCATTACAATCAACGCACGCCTGCTCAAGTTGTTTCAACGTTTGATCATACTCAACCTCATCACTAGCCCATACAACCTCCGTCCATAATTCGTCAATTTTCTTTTGCATGTCACTAGCCACATATTGTTTCCGTTTTGCACCAACATTCTTGTTAATATGATATCGACATAGCATATTGATCGACCTTGGAAACACAATTTCAATGGCTTTCATCAAAGCAAGATCTCTATCTGTCAAAATCACTTGTGGACACAACTCTTTTTTCACAAACAATTGTTTAAGCTTATCTAGCACCCAACAAAAATTCTCAGTTTGCTCAGACTCAATATAGGCAAATGCGACAGCAAAAGTCAACTCGGTTGATGTCATTCCAACAATTTCAAATAGAGGTTGCCTATATTTGTTTGTCTTGTAAGTGCTGTCCATAACTAGCACAGTAGGAAAAATATTCAACAACTTAACTGAATCTGGATGAGCCCAAAAGATATCTCTAATAACTTCAGAGTCATCTCTTTTTCTACTCCAATAAA